GGTTTATTAATGTTTTCTGTCTGCAAAGAGAATCTGAGTATATAGACAGATATAATTTGTACAGTAAAGACCAAAATCAAGAAACGAAAAGAACAAGACCCAGAGACAGAAATTTATAGCATTCATTATTTTTTGTTCTAGAATGAAAGTTCGTGGTAATACCGTGTTTCCCCGAAAATAAGACCTAGCGCATGGAAAGATAAGACATCCTCTGAAAATAAGACCTAGCGCAACTTTGGGAGAAAAAATTAATATAAGACACTGTCTTATTTTTGGGGAAACAGGGTAGATTGGCTATATTAAGCAAATACACAGAAAATAAAAATCCTAAGATAGATGGTGCTATTGTAGTAGGCCAGTTAAGAGCCCTCTAGAGCAAAGACCAGGAAAAATTAAGAGAATCATTTTCTTTTAAGACTCTTATGTGCAAGTGAGGGATGAGACAACACAAAGAGTACAGATTCTGAAACGTAAAAGATCTAATAAACCATTCTCATCATCATCGCAGTTACTTTTTTCTCTTTCCATTTTCAAAGGTCCTCTGTTGGCCATTTATTTGCTCAAATGGCTTTTACTCGATGCTTCTCCAAGCACCAGACCTTAATGATGGCATGAGAAGGCCCTCCTTCCTGAAGAGTAGAGGAGTTTCAAAGCTTTGAAAATAAAGATTCTTTCTACAGCAGCAGGACTTCATGAAGAGCAGTGATCCTCAATTAAATGAGGTGAAGACTCACCCTTCACAGACCCTCACTTTGTGCTATCTGGGCCTCAGCTTGACCTCGAATTCAATAAGCTGGTCATACTGTCCATAAAATAACGTCACTGTGATTGTTTGTGATGCTAAAAGATAGACCATCACTTTTCCCAGGTTACACAAAGGTGAAGGCATTTTTCTGCTGCGAGAAAGCATACTGCTAGTAGCCATCAGTGTTTTATAATCGGGTTGAGAATGCCATTAAGGTTCTAAGGCAGCATCCTAAGAGGTCCCTCTTGTTCACAATTGGCAGACTATTAGCTATTTCAATACAAGCAACAAACTGCAATAAACATATTTAATTACCTCCATCCAGTCTCCATATAACTCTCCTTATTCCCAGGAACCTACTGCATCCTCTCAGGGGGAGGAGATAAGCAGATGGATGTGAGCAGTTGCACAGAACTTTGGGCAGCCACCACCAGCCCTGAGAGCATTTGGTCAACACCCTTGAAGCCAGTTAAAATCTCAGCAAATGGTTCCCAACTCCAACAGATGGGCTGTTGGTCCCAGTTGTGCTATTCAACATCTATATGACTCCATATGAGAAACTAAAATCTGGGAGTTGGAAGATTGCTTCTCTCCAATATATTCTATTTAATATTTTATGATTTTACTCCATAACTAGTATCTTCTCTTTATAATGGAAAGCTTGGCCTGGGTCTATTTTCTCCACTGGTAGAATGCCACAAAGGGATGACAGTCATCTGGTTAACACTCACGAAGGATTTGAATATGGTTTCATTTTACAACCAAGGAAGCAGATGGTTAAATGAGATCGTTATAATCAGATAGGGAAAAGTTACACTCCTACCCTACAAAGTGAGACACTAATTACTACAATTCAGTTTTAATATTTATATTCTTGAAGGACAACAAAATTAGAATTACAAAAGTCTTATTTAAATGAAACATTTCTGATTCCTAACATATTTTTAAACTACTTTTACTAGTTCTGACACTTTTCTAAACGTTAAAAAGGTCAACCCAACATGAATTATTATAGAACTTTCTGACCAGGATATTTTTCATTACTACTATATTATATTCAGAATCCCTCAAATTTTTATTTTCCATTCTCTTGCCCTTCCTCTCCATTTCTGTCACCCCCACCATCTTCTCTAACTGTAAATGCTATTTTAGAACCCATCTTTTTTAAAAAATATATTTTATTGATTTTTACAGAGAGGCAGAGACAGGGATAGAGACTGAGAATTATTGATGAGAGAGAAACATTGATCAGCTGCCTCCTGCACACTCCCTACTGGGTGTGTGCCTACAACCAAGGTGCATGCCCTTAACCAGAATCAAACTTGGGACCCTTCAGTCCGCAAGCCGACGCTCTATCCACTGAGCCAAACCAGTTAGGGTAAGAGCCCATCTTTTTAATAAAAGGTTAACTTTAAAAGCTGATGTGCTGCATACCTGGGTGTTTTTTTTTGTTTGTTTGTTTTTTTCTTTAAGGGTCTTCATCTTTATTTGGTTTTATGACATCCATCTTCCATTGAGATAAGTGTTCACTCAAATATTAAATGCACAAAATCATACAGCATCACTGCGCATACCTGTTCTTAAAATTCTCTACACTTTAAAAAATATATATATATTATTGATTTTTTACAGAGAGGAAGGGAGAGGAATAGAGAGTTAGAAACATTGATGAGAGAGAAACATCAGTCAGCTGCCTCCTGCACACCTCCTAACTGGGAATGTCCCTGCAACCAAGGTACGTGCCCTTGACCGGAATCGAACCCGGGACCTCTCAGTCTGCAGGCCCATGCTCTATCCACTGAGCCAAATCAGTTTTGGCAAAATTCCTTACACTTTTACTGTTGTAGTCTCTAATCAGGGATTGGAATTTGGCTTTTATAACTTCAAGGAGAAAGCAAATTACCCCTTGGGCAAGAACATATATACCTACACTATTTGGTGCTGCAAGAGTTTTTTCCTAATCCAGAGTTAGAGCCCTAAAAGAGGAAATAGTCATTGGAAAGGGTGTGAGGAACAGAATCAAGGACGCTGATTCTGAATCACAATGATTCTCTTGAGGACATTCCCAGGTTCCAGCTCTTCTTACCAGTAGCCATGTTATTTTGGCTTTTATGTTAAGACTAGAGGCCTGGTGCATGAAATTTGTTTATGATGGGGAAAAGAGTCCCCTCAGCCCAGCCTGCACCCTCTCCAATCTGGGACCCCTCAAGGGATGTCCGACTGCTGATCAGGCCTAAACCAGCAGTTGGACATACCACTCACAATCCTGGACAGTTGGCTCCTAATTGCTCACCTGTCTGCCTTCCTGGTCATCCCTAACTGCCCCCCTGCTGGCCTGATCGCCCCTCACTGCCTCTGTGTGACAGCCTAATTGTCACTAACTCCCCCACCCCCACCAGCCTGGTCACCCCCAATTGCACACTCCCCACACCCCCAGCCTCGTCATCCTTAACTGCCCCCTATTGGCCTGGTTGCCTTAATACCCCCCTGTTGGTCTGGTCACCCCTCACTGACCTTTTGCTGGCCTAGTCGCCCCACACAGCCTGCTTGTTCAGTCATTTGGTTGAAATTACACTGTCAGTTTTTATAAATTTCAACTGTACACCACTGTTGAAGAAACATATATCTATTCCATTTCACATTTGATCTCTTAACTTTAGAAAAAAAAAAATCTATGCTGCTTCTTAATGATAATGTCCTGGATTTCATGATAAAAATCTATGATCACCACAGGAGATGTTGGGAATCCTAGAAAATAACATTTCACTGCTCAATTAACAGAAGTCACCCAGTTAGTTACCAGTGAAGATAGTTAACTAGCTCCCAGGCTCCATGATTTTCTACAGTAGCACACAGCCACCTTAGATATTAGCCAAGAACTGTATGTCACCAAAATGTCATGCTAGAAATGTTTAAAGTCAGGATAGTAAAAGAATAAGCAGAGACTTAGATCACAAAAGAGTTTACCTCACTGAAACAGTTTTCTACAATTCCTGACACATTCTTTATCAGACTGTTGATAATTTCACTGTTTCACGGAAGATAAGCACAGCAAATAGAAACTACATATCTCAGTTAGTCCATGGAAAGATTAAGATTTTCATTTCAAACCTGCATATTTAGCCCTGACCAGTTTGGCTCAGTGGATAGTGTCAGCCTGCTGACTCAAGGGTTCCAGGTTTGATTCCAGTCAAGGGCATGTACCTTGGTTGCAGGCCCTTCCCCAGTAGGGGGTGTGCAGGAGGCAGCTGATTGATGTTTCTCTCTCATCAATGTTTCTAACTCTCTCTCCTTCTCCCTTCCTCTCTGTAAAAAATAAATTAAAAATATTTGAAAAAAAAATCTGCATATTTAAACACAGAAAATGTTCAGAAGACCATTTGTGTAATTTGGTGATTCTCAATGGTTTTCACAAGTCATACTGAATCTCTGAGGCTGTTTTAAAAAAATATTATTTTAACTCAAGTTGTTACTTATTACAAAGCTAATTATTTACTGATAGATCGTTTCTGAGTTTTTTTGTTTTTGTTTTTTCCCCCCCTCTTTCAATTATTTTCTTTGATGTTGAGTTTGGGTTTTTTTTAGAAGATTCAGGGACACATGGTAGGAATCTTAAAATTGCTGATGTGGAAGAGAAATCTGACTCTTCTACTAATTAAATAGACTTCAGCTCAAACAAAGGAAAACTTTAAAATGAGGTATGCTGTGATAGAATTAGCTGCTGTAGCAGATTTTTTAAGGGTTAGTCACTGCTGATGTTCTAAGCATTAGACCATTTGTAGACTGTTATAAAAAGAATAGAGGCAATGATTGGGTCAGATAGATTAGATTGTATTATATTAGATTAAATGTGCTATCTGGCAATTTTCATCCTAAAAGTGCCTGGTTCTATGAACTCAGTAGTAGTATTATAGAACCAGTTCCTCCCTTCTGCTAACACAAGGCTTATTCCTTCAAATGCTTGACACCCTTTGTGTTTGGAAAAGCTATGTAACTTATTTCATTAACATATGTTTTGATGGCACAGGCTGGAACATTAATCACTGCTCATATATATCAAGTAAATGGAAGGGCTGAAGTCAAATTCTCATATATCAGTACAAACTCATCTAACTGTTATTATATTGGGTGAGGGCAACAAGCTGTCTTATAACCATGAAAAAATAAAAATATTTTAATAATCATATTAGTCCTTGGAATTCTTTTCTAAAGAGCTAAAAATAATTAGCACAGCATGAAATAATTGAACACTAACCTCCTTCATTTTTTCCAGTTCATTCTGTAAAGCTTGCTTTGCAATCTCAACTTCTATAAGCTGTTGCCTCAGTTTCTCATTTTCATCTTCTGTTGTCGTTCTCTTTTCTTCCACATTTTCCAATTCATGGTGAAGTCTCACAGACACATCCTTTGCAACCTAAATTAAAGTGTGTGTAACAACAAAATATAATTAAAAGACAACAAAATATGTGGGCCAAAGTTATATTCATACCACAAGTAGCAAGAGCCAATACCTATATGCTATATGCAGGCATTATTCCAGATGCTTTCCATATAAGCCATTCACATACAACAATCCCATAAATAAGAGGATTATAATTCCTGTTTTACAGATGGGGAACTCTAAGTCTTGGATATGTGAAGTAGTACACTTAAGGTCATATAGCTAACAAGTGAGCAGGCAATCTGGCTCACAACTCTGTTCCCTTAACCTCTACACTACACTATAGTAAGAAATATTCAATTGTATCTATCATGGGTAGGCATTTTTGCCTCCTGTTCTAAAATTATTCTGGAAATTTTAGGGTTTGGAAAGGTGGAGCAGTCTTGGGTAGTGGCTCGGGCGCAGGCTGTGTTTGAGATGGAGTGAGGAGCCAGCCTGGCCAGCTACTAGTGGAGGCTGGGCACCTAACCTGAGAAAAAGTTCAGGGTAAGAACCTGTTCAATGATGTTATTAATAATCCCTATTTTATAATTGTTGTTTTTTTCTTGAGAAATATATGAGATAATAATATAGGGTGTCCCAAAAAATGTATACACACACTTTGGATAATGATAAAGGCAGTGTTTATTAAAATACATTTCATTTTCACCGAAACCGGTTTGGTTCAGTGGAAAGAGCATCGGCTTGCAGACTGAGGAGTCCCGGGTTCAATTCCAGTCAAAAGCATGTACATGGGTTGCGGGCACATCCCCAATGTGGGGTGTGCAGGAGGCAGCTGAGTCAATGTTTCTCTTTCTCATCGATGTTTCTGACTATCTGTCCCTCTCCCTTCCTCTCTATGAAAAATCAATAATTTTTTTTTAAATAATGCATTTCATTTTCAAAACTGAGCTATCCACCGTTAAAGTGTGTATACATTTTTTGGTGGACACACTGTATATATATAACAATGTTTGCCACGGAGCCCAGTGCATAGTACCCAACAAAGGTTCAAATTAAAAACGAAGGAGTAATAATATACTGACTTTCATAAAGCGTTTTCTCCAAAACAAATGGAGGGCAATTACATTTGATTTTCCTATCTTGAAGTTAGTATAATTAAAATTATATTTTTGATTATTCAAGGCCTTGCAGAAAACAACTGTCTTACAGTCAAACTGAACTAAACAGACCACACCTGCCTAAAAACGCATTTCAAAGCTGAAATTTCTCCACTGGGGGAGACTCTTAAGAAGGGACTTCCCATTAAGAAGAATGTGAAATGTTTATTTTACTTACTTCACTCTCCCTTTACTCCCCAAAGGGGTCTTACGTTGGACGGTTTTCTTTTGGGGGAGTATGGAAGTGGTAAGTACTGCAAAGGACCCCTGGAAGATAGGGGCGGGGACTTGCAGGGAGAAATCTCAAATTCCTCCCAGTGCTGCTCCTATTCAAGGCTTCAACTTCTCTACTCCTGAGCGCCTGATTCCACCTGGCCTCCACTTGCACTGCAGCTTCTGGAGGCCTGCCCAAGGCCTGAGCCTGCGCTCTGCCACACCCTGGTTTCCGCCAGGAAGCGGGGCGCCCTCTCCCCACCGCCTCCATGAGAGCCACGTCACTCCCAGGAGCGCCCACATAGCTCGCTCTCTACCAGGCCTGACACACGGGGCTCTTCCCATCCACCTGTCAGTCCTCCCCTTCTCCTTCCGGGACTGATCCTCAAAGCTCTGCGCCAGCCATCACTGCAGGCCTTTCAGGGTCCCCACCCGCCCTGGGCCGTGGCCCCCGCCCGCCGCCCCGGGTCCCCGCGCCGCGGACCTTGAGGTCCTGCTCCAGGCTGCGCAGCAGCTCCCCGTCGATCTCGCCGGTCTGCGCGTAGCGGAGCCTCTTGCGCTCGGCCTTGCGGAGGCGGTACTGCAGGATCCGGCAGTTCTTGTTGGCTCTCTCCAACTCGTGGCGCATCTCCTGCAGCTGGCAGGCGTCCTCCTCGAAGAAACTGTCCCTCATCTCGTCCATCTCGGTCCTCAGCTCGTCGATCTCGTTCTGGGGTGACAGGCCGCGGGTCAGAATCCCCCTCGCTCCCCGCCGCCCCTCGGACACACACCTCAGGCACCCCATCCCCGATGCCAAATTCCCGGCGTGTCTGCCCCCTCTCCAGCGGGCAGGAATGACGGAGAAAACTTAGCAAAAACGGGCACTCTGGAGGCCTTCTCGCGCGTCCCTACTCCATCGAGCCCTCTCCATGAAAATGTGGGCAAACCATGGTCCTTAGGGAAACGAAGGTCCAGATTTGGATTTTTACGTGAAAAACCGAACGCTACCGATCTCTGGCTGTGTAAAAACCGGAAAAGGCCTAGGATTTCCCCCCCCCCCCCCCCCCGCGCCCCTCGTTTCCTGTTCCCCTCCCTCCTTAAGGCTCCCTAACAGCTTAGCAGCCTCCCTCCCATCCCCGCCGGACACGCCCTAATCCTCCGGGGCCCACTCCTCCCCTCTCCCCTCCCGCACCCCCGTCACCTTGAGAGTCTCGTTTTCCTCTCGAAGCTTCTCCATCTCCTCCTGCATTTCTTCCTGCTCCTGGCACTGCTGCGGGTGCGGCTGCGAGGGAGGGGGCGCCGCCGCCTGCATGCCGCCGCCGCCGCCCGCGCTGCCCTCCGCGCCCTGCGGGGGCCCCTCGGCCGCCGCGGCCATGGGGAAGGGGGCCGGGGCTGCGGGCGCTTCGCCCACGGCAGGGGCGCCGGAGACCGGGGAGCTCCGGGGGCTGCCGCCGCCGCCACCGTTCTTGGTGAGCATCTGAGCCGCGGCCGCCGCGGCCGCCGCCCGCTCCTTCTTGAGATGGAACTGGATGAGCTCAGACTGCAGGCATCCTTCCTTCCAGTAGCTCCCTCCGCCGTGGCTTCCCCCCACCAGGCCGCTCCCGGAGCTCCTGCTGCCGGGGTTTGGGCCTAGGGTTTTGGCCGCGGAGGAGGAGGAGGAGGAGGATGGCGAAGGGGAGGAGGCCCCCTCCCCGCCGCTGCCGCCCCTCTGCGGAGCTCGTCCTCCTTTCCCTCGCCAACCCCTGGGCGGCGGCGGCGGCTGCTGCGGAGCGCCCCCCTCCCTTCCCCCAGAGCCGCCGCCGCCGGCTCCTCCTACTTCCCCACCCCCTCCTCTTTCTTCCCCGAGCGGAGGGGGTTCCCCGAGCTTAGAGGGCACGGGATCTGGGTTCCCGGGCGGCTCCTCCGTGGGGCCAAGCCTCCGGCCGCCCCCCGGGGCCAGGGCTGCCGCGGGGGCCACTTCAGCACCGGCCGCGGGCTGGACAGCTCCCGGCGCAGCCCCTTTGGGAGCCGCGGGCGCCGCCTTCTCCGCCCCGCCTCCGCCGCCGCCCCGGCCGCCGGCCCCGGGCACCGCGCGGCCCGCGGTCTTGGTGCCCTGCAGCTGCTGCTGCTGCTGCTGCTGCTGCTGCTGCTGCTGCTGCTGCTGCAATTGCTGCTGCCGAGCAGAATTGAGCTTAGTGCCTGCCCCCACCGGGGACCGGGTAGCTGCTGGGGTCTGGCGGCCCGTATTGTCCCTCAGTCGAGCGGGTGACTGAGCCCGCGGCTGCTTCCTGCTGCTGCCCTCCGGGTGCAGGCGAGCCTCGGTGGCGGCGGAAGCTGCGGCGGCGGCGGCAGGGGCAGCGCCCCCGGTCGGTGGCTGACTCATGGCTGTCTAGAAGAATCTACTGGATGTGCGATTTAGAATGGTCCATCACCAGATCACGCTCTTCCCTCCTCACCGCCATCAAATTGCCTTTCTCTAATCTGGAACGGAAACAAAAGGAGGGAAAACATACAAGCTGTCTGCATTGTTACAGAGCAATGCAAGAAAAGCCCTAGAAAATGAGGGTTTGAAGGTGTTTAATAAGAGGCCTTGACTTTAGGAGTAAGAGGCAGAATTGTCCATTCTCGTTTTGCCAAGGGAGGGCGCTATCTCCAACCCATTCCATTAAAATGATGACGATGGGAAAGCAGCTGAACCTTGCATTCTCAAAGTAGCATGTTTTTTTTTGTTTGTTTGTTTTTTTGCAAGGGTGAGACATGGAGCCAGAAAAAGAATGGAGGGCAAGGAAGATTTTTTTAAGTAGAGGATAAAGTCCAGAAGAAGTTTCAGAGAGAAAGGAGAGGTCTACTACAGTTGTAAATACACAAATTTTTCAACTATGGTTTTTCTCTCCTCAAATCTGCAATGTATAGCATAATTTAGTGGAGAGAGTTCTGTTTAATCAATATTCCCAGTGTCAATTGCCGGAAAAGGGCTATGAAGGAGGCGTCTGAAGAAAAATTGCTATGGGTCAATGATACTTTTCTCAATATTCTTCTTAGTTCGAAAAAATATACCAAACTTCCTTTTTATTAGAACTAATATATATATATTCTAAAAATCAATTTCATTTTCAAGAAAAATAATGGCACTAGAAATCATCTATGTAATCATTAGCAGCTCTACAAGGATTTTCCCTTTTAAGCATTGGGAAATAATTTTTTAAAACTTTTAGAAAAGTTTAATGACAGCTGTGCACAATTTCTTTAAAATACAGGTGATGGCCTTTTTCTATACTTATCCAAATTTCACAGTTTTGTGAATTTTTTTTAGTTTTAAATGTCATTGCTAGGTAGAAAATATTTTTATTCTTAAGCATCTTCTCAGATGATATATATGACAAATTCTGAGACAGGATGGCCCCGCAACCAATAAGGCTGCTGCATCCTCGCTCTGTCTACACCCAGAAGGCTGCTGCATCCTAACTCATGGTGATAAGACCTATTTCTATTGTGTATTTTTATTTTTTTCCAAAGAAGAAGCCATCCAAGGTATTTAAAATCTGGAAAATAGCAAACCATTGCCTCCTGGGTTCTCCCTAGGGATCCAGCTAACTAGTCAGCTAGTCAATTAGGTGCCTTTTCCTTAGAAATATAATTTTCCTCTAAAGCACTGAAAAGGGCATGACTAGGCAGAAAGTTCTGCTTTAGAAAAGTCCTCCTGCTAGGAGATGAGATACTTGCTAGTTACTCCACTAGCATTTTTCCTATCATTGTCTATTTTCAGTAGCATAACTTAGCCAACATGCAGTAATCCTCATTGTGTAAAGAAATATTACTGGAGGGCCTTCTCCAACTTCCTTTCTCTCCCTGGGCTCTCCTTCCAACTCAGTTTGGAAAATAAGAGTGAACAAAGAAGACTAGGGGTGGGGGATACAAGTTGTCTATCCACTTATTTTCTACTGTTCTCTTTGAGCCACCTATTACTAGAACGTGTGGCCTGGTTCATCGGTTCGGGTCACACTAATGGGGATCTCTCAAACGAGTTATTTTGCCAATGCAGACTTATTTTTGTTTCGAGTTGGGCAGAAGCACTCTGGAGCTGAGAGCCGCCGGAGAACACTGAAACTCGGCCCCCAGACAGGCCTAGACCAGGAGAAAGCTGGGCTTCCACAAGCAAAGGGAGCTGACCGCTGTCACGTGGTTCTCCCCAAGTGACAAGATGCTGTGTCTCTCTCTTCCCCGCAGAAATTATCCACCAAGCAACCCCGGAACAGCCCAAAGGAACACTTTTCATCTCCAGCTTTATCTGCCCATTTAACCTACCCTGTCTTTCATCCCCATCCGTTCAGAGATCCAGAAGAACCGCTCACTTCTTAGCAGAGGAGATGCTTGGGAGTTGATGCCCATCAGCAGCGCTTTCCTTCGGATCTTCCAGTGACCTCAGGGTTTATTGTTTTGTCCGGGAGACGAGGAACGTTTAACTTCGCAGCATCGTATTCAACTTTCTGGGTAAGCTGGCCCCAGTTCCACACCCACTGGATTTCTCCAAACAATGGCGTTCACCTGTGGACTCAGCGGCCCCCGGAGCCGGTCCCTTCCCAGGCGGTCGGCGGCCGGGCTGGAGTTGCAGCTCGGAGCTGGGGACCGCGGAGGTACCAAGCCGTGCCAGACGCTCCCCGGGAAGTGCAATGATATTCATGAGCTGACCTCACCGGCTAGGCAAGGGAGGGGCGGGATTGCAAGGAAGGACAGAGTAGAAGGAACCAAAGAGAGGCTACTTTCCAGAGGAAAGAGAAGAGAAGAAGGCGGGGACGGGGAAAGCGGGGGAGTGGAGAGATGGCAGGAAGACAAAAAGGTCAGGCCACGCCCGCGATGAAGATCCGTAGTCAGGCTCCAAGTACTTGCTGCACTCCGGTAAACCTCACTGGGCAAATGATTCCCAAAACAGCTCGAAATCGGACGCACTGTTTTTCTGCAAAGCTTTGTCCTGGGCTCGCTCGATCTCCATCAATTATTCACGGGGTTCTTTGAAAAGCAGGCAGACGGAGCGAACAACCAACCTCCCGGGCGTGACTGCATCTCCTGATGCAGCTGCGAGGCGCAGGCGGGCGGCTGCCGGGAGTTCCCTTTGTTCGCTCACTTTAATTCTCAGTCGAGCTCTCCACGCGGTGCGCGTCCCCACCCCCAGGCCGGGCGGAGTCAGCAGACGTCGTTTTTTATGAGTAGACATGGTGGCCAGGCCCACCGTCCCACAGACAAAGGGTTCCTGTGATGCCACGACCCATGTAGTGCAAACAGAATAAGTATCGGTGTACAGAGGGCGTTTATAGGCCAGTCTGCCCTCGGCACATTTTTCTTCTCTGTTTAGCTCTCGTGTCCGCTGGGACTCCAGGACCAATTGCCAGGATCCATACTCTTTAGAGCAGTGCACGTGTGTAACAGGAATCATCAAGAGTGCATTTATACGATATGAGCTTAAGGAATTGGGTTGGTGGGCGATTCAGAATTGGTGCCTGTAAGATGTGCACTGGTCCATAATGTTCCACAATAATAACAATTTTTAAAAATCTGACTGGGAAATTCTCTTTTCCCATCCAGGTTTTTATTTTTTATTTATATTTTTTGGGGGGGGGCAGTGGGGTGGGAAACATGAAGGTTTCCTCCTACCTCTAAGAATTCCTTAATGAATTTCAAGGTGAGAATAAAATAAACACTGCTTTAGAAAAGGTGTTTTTAAAAATTATATTTTTAGTTAAAAGGGTATTTTTCAAAATTAAAATTTTCTTACATTTAATATTGTGGTGTTGTAGCAAAAAGGAGGTCAATGCCTTGAAGTAATCATTTTTTATACTAACATGAATTTCAGTGTAATATTTTATTTACAAAGTGTAATATCTCTCATTAAAATGAAGTTGAAACAATTTAGTAGTAGTTTGCATACAAGCAATATCATTATAGCAGAATAAAAAATATGTTCAAATCATGGTGAATCAAATCTCATCAGATCAGTATATTATCATGGCAAAGTCATTCATGTATCATCTGCTCCAAAATAGATAAGTGCCTATTTTATGCCTGGTACTGTCCAAGGTGCTGGTTATGAAAAGATTAAATTAAGAAATAATCCCTCTTCTGAGGATGCTTAAACGTATTGGCTAAGGATTAGAACAATTTCCATATAATCCTTTGGAAATTTTGGACAGTGAGATTTGACATCTGTGACACCTATAATAAATAGCTCAGACCTTGACAAACATATGGAAAATAGAGGAATAAAATAAAGTAAAATGTAATCTCCGTTTATTTAGAATTTATATCCTGCAATTTTTTTTATTATGTACCCAAATTTGAGTTGTGATTTCCTAAAGAAATGCCAAATGGATAAAAATGAATAAAAATATATGTTTCCTCATTAATTTTTAAAAATTATATTATAAACATAGTCTAAGAACACAAAACATACCTGGCCCTGCATCTCCAAGAACTTATATACTGTTTAGGCATCTATGTTTTAATTTTTTCCTAAGATAGCATTTATTTTCATGTAATTAGTAACTTTGGAAATAATAAAATCAAGAATTTATTATTATGCAATCAGTGTACTTAAATGTGTATATTAATAATAAAGTATGCAATCTTAAGGTTGAAAATGAAAAAAAAACTGAGTATAGTGATATTTAAGACGTTTCTTTATTAAAGTAAATATGTTACAAGAACTTTTGAACTGGGAATTTATCTTCCTTATTTCTTTATTTGCCAGTTAAAGATATATATTTTCAAATTAAGCAACCTTCAGAGGAGATCATTGAGTGATTTGTCTGAATTTAGAAAGGAATTATTTTTACCATGTTTTAGAAATAGATAGGGCCAAGGACCTTTTAAATGACTGTAATAATGAAATATCTCTAAAACAAGTAAGATGTGGATCTTCAATCAAGAAAAGAAGGCTAACATCTCAAATTCAAAGCCCCTAAGAAAACATAGCTTTAAATCTACTATGGTCTGTGTCCTTGGGTTATGCATATCTTTTTTTTAAATAAATCTTTATTGTTCATATTATTACAAAAGTTCCTCATTTTTCCCCCCTCCACCAGGTTCCCACCCCACCCTCTGCCCTTTCCCCACCCCTCCACTGTCCTCATCCATAGGTGCACAGTTTATGTTCAGTCTCTTCCCGCACCCCCCACTCCTCTTTTCCCCAAGAATTGTCAGTCCACTCCCCTTCTGTACCTCTGATTCTGTTATATTCAACAGTTAATATTGTTCATCAGATTTTTTAATTCCCTTGGTTTTTAGATTCACTTGTTGATAGTTACATACCCTGTTTCCCCGAAAATAAGACAGTGTCTTATATTAATTTTTGCTCCCAAAGACACGCTAGGTCTTATTTTCAGGGGATGTCTTATTTTTCCATGAAGAATATGGTACACATTTATTGTGAAATGAAAATAAAGGAAATTTATTACCTGTATACGTTACGGTAGTACAGTAGTTGTCAACACAAACCAGACAAACTGTGAATCCTACAGTATCAAGAATTTACTCATTTATTCAATCACAATCATGTCACCATCTTCTGGAACATCATCATAACAATCCAATTCCTGAATTTCCTAGTGAATTTCTTGTGACTCCATTTCTTTCAGAATCAGTGGACCAAATCTCTCATGTTTAACCTAGGGGGGCCTTATTTTCAGGGGGATACCTTATATTTCA